GTTATATGAATGGATGAAAATATTCTACTGGTCTTCGACAGAAGTGTCTCAAAGCCAGAATGATAGAAGCAGGAGGGATAGGGTCCTCAGCAGGAGAAAGCCAGGCCCAGGCACAGTGGAGGGGTGCCAGGCAATTAGAAGAGGGTGTACTAGTATAAATGGGCATTAAAAACCAGCATTTACAGCATATACTTGCAGGCTTCTGTTAGATACTGATGGTGTGTTTTTTTTTAATCAGCTATCAACAATTGTCAAGATACCAGCTGTCCATTAATGTCAATATAAAGCACTGAGATCAAACAGTGATTGCAAATATCTGACATCCCTATTTGCAGATGAGAATGTTTGGAGCTTGGTGTAGTGGTTAAGTGCGCGGACTCTGGGAGAACCGGGTTTGATTCCCCAACTCCTCCACTTGCATCTGCTGATGTGACCTTGGGTCAGTCACAAGCTCTGGCACAGCTGTCCTTGAAAAAGAGCAGTTTCTGTCAGAGTTCTTTCAGCCCCACCCATCTCACAGGGTGTCTGTTGTGGGGAGGGGAAGGGAAAGGAGTTTGTAAGCCGCTCTGAGACACCTTTGGGTAGTGAAGGGCGGGGTATAAAATCTTCTTCTTCTTGGAGCAAAACTTTGATTACCAGGTACTGGAGCCCAAAAGGCAGATACAATGGTTGTTACCAAATGGCTATCACCAGCCTGACCTTCTGCAGGTCACCTAGCTAAGCACCACTGAAGATGAAACAGCTGGACAGATTCTGCAAGGTAGTGCTTATGACCTTATGAAAAATTTGCATGTTGCAGGCAGTTCTGGGTGGCTAATACATCATAAGCACTCTAACTGGTATAGCTTCATGTATGTCTCATTCCCTAAAGGGTGGCTTCTTTCAGTAGAGCGTATAGGAATATGGTGGCACTCTACACAGCTACAGATTTTTAGGTTGTCTTCCATTCTTACAAATGTAAACTTATGGAGGTCACCAGTTCGTTCCCTTTTGCTCTTTACCTTCAGCTACTTAAAAGGTTAACTCACTAGCCAGCTTAGATATGATACTGGCAGATATATCAATTAATCTTCCCAATTTTCTTAAACAGGGAAATAGTCGCATGGACCCCCGTTTAAACTGGGGCTGTGGTGCCAGGGGAAGAGGAGCTTTAACCCTTTCTCTCCTGCACAGTTTGTGGTTAGCAGTTCTGGAAGGTTAACTTTTTCCATTCCAGGACTAATAAGCCCTGGGCAAGGAGGGCTTTGCTTTAATTGGCAAAACTATAATCGAAGTCCTTCTACCCAAACACTGTGGTCACACGATTTACCTATAAAGCATCCTTGAAAGATCCATAGATAGATTATCCATTGTATCATCTGGTTTAGCTCCCAGATTTTGTTGGGGCCTTTACTGGAGATCAGGTGAAGGAAAACCTGTGCTGATTCTTAATAAGCACAAAAGGATGTTTCCAAAATGTTTCTCTCACTGTTTATACAGAGGCTCCCTTTGTTTCCTTTTTAAATGCCATCTAGTCTTAATCCTCTTGAAAGCCTGGGTACATTACAAATAAATCCGGAGAGGAAATGCATCATGAAACCAGAGAAGTTTTAGCAAAAAGCCTTGATTGCTTGGGTGAATCTCAAAGGAACACAAGAAAGACTTAACATTCCTTTCCTAGCTAGTGGAACAGCTGAAACTTCACCTTACCTAGCAGCTCATTAGCAGAGATGGCCAGAACATCAGAAGAGAACAGAAAGAAAACTATGAACAGTCTTTTAAGAAAGTGCAAACTGCCAGCTCCATAGAATCCAGCTCCAAAATGCAACCAAAACATGTTTGAAGATATATTCATAAATTAAAAATCATTGTATTTAGTACACAAAACTGTGAACAGTCACCCAAACTAAACAGAAATACATAGCAATGTATGTAGTTATTCTAGACGTACAATTATTTTGCCTCACACTTTGAGAGACAAATAGTGTGAATTCAACATATACAACACTGTACCGGGACAAAAAAATAATGCTATATTTTAATTCATTTTACTTTAATTCATCTTTGCTTTTCATTCATACCCACTCAGCCTCAAATACTGTTACATGTTTCAAAAACAGGGTAGACCTTGACTTTGAAGAACATCCTGTGACACAAGGAATCCTGAACAACTTTTTCTTCTCATGCTCCTACATACACCCTCCAGTTTGGCCAACTCTGCCCATTGCACTTGTGTGTTTAAGCAAGTCTATCTGTTAGCTCCCATTTCAGAGCACTTTCCTTGAACTATTAATTAACTTTGACACCTCTGTGCTTTGAGAAAATGATCCAATGAGGCCCATTTTCACTTAACCATATTTTAATTTGGTCTGACATTTTACTGCCCAAACATTGTTTTCGTTCACCACCCTCAACCTGTTTCACTTTGTTTTAAAGACAGATTTACTTAGGGGGAAACAGCTATATTCTGGGACTCCAGTATAGCAAATCTGACTCTGTTTTGTTTTTTTTTTTTTAAACACAAGTAAAAATAGTGAAAGTTTTTTTAAGCCACTGATTTTTAATAAACCATTTTACATTTTTTACAGTGATCATGTTCCAATCCTGAAAACACATAAATGCTTTAAAAAACAGGCACTTGGATTCTAAACACATTTGGTTGGAAGTATGGTCTGTTACAGTGTGTTTTGTGCAGATGTAATAATATTTATACCATTACTAATGTCTTCAGTTATCTTAAAAAAACATGACAATATACATTAAAATAATTGTGAAAGGTATGCTATTATCTAATGACATTTTAAAGAGTGTTAGGTGGGCACAAATATTTTTATTTCTGACAAAAATGTTTATAAACATGTGCATGATTAATGAGCCTGTAAATCCCTTCCCATATTCCACAGGAAATGTGCTTTCAAGCCTTAACATAGATCACAAATGAAAAGAACGTGTGGAAAGTCTGGCAAAGTGGAAAAGCCCAAACTACACATTACTCTAATTTCAGTGTCACTTTCATGATTTAAAAAAAAAGTAAAGCTCTTGTGGAGGACTGAAATCAGGAATGGAAGATTCTTATTTTTTCATGAAAACAGTTTTTTTCCTCACCACATAAGAAAGAGTAGGGATACATGTATCTCCTCCCTTTCCAAGAGGATAATCAACTTGCGAAAGGGCAATTGTGAGAGTAGAAAAAGGTTGGCAGCATAATAATTAAACATTCCTCCATACAGACCTTTCTTGCACTGCAGCAACCAGTAGATACTCTGCATTTTGGGGGTGGATCCACCAGGGAGAGGGAGTGTAGTTTAGCCTCTTTCCACTTTGATGGACACCCTGTCACTTTCTTCTTGTGTTGTAAATATGAAGCAAAGGTAGTAGACAATACTATCCATGTCACAGACAACAATGGGTGCTTTCCTAAAATCTGAATCACTTGAACACACCCGTGAACTGTCTTTAGAACATTAGATGTTTTTTCAATTTAACCACAGAGATCAAGCTGACTCATGCTTGTTTTAAAAAGTTGCTACCCTGACAACTGAACAGTCTACAAATCCTATAACTGAAAGGGGAAACAGAACACAATCCACCTAGAATGGGATGGGTTTGTTTACAACAGAATTTTTTCAACAAACTGTCTTGTTCTGCAAGACCCAGCTTCTGATTTATGACTATGGAATGATGCAAACAGATTGCTGCCTCATGGGATAGGATTACAGTGCACAGAGACTAAAGAAAATAAATAGTGAAGCTTTCACAAGTGAGGGAGACAATCCCAATTGTACATCTCCTCCATCCTCCCATATGAAATTTGTGAGGGCATGTCTTCGTATGTGTTAATCCAGGGGCAAAAACTTAATTTACTGATCTTCATCTCCATTAGCTCTTCCCCCAAACCATGCAGCTGATTCCACCAGTGGGTATAAAAACTTCAGTGCTCCACTCACCTACCTAACCTCTATCTGAAACTGAAAAGAGTTTTCAAAAACTGTGTATGCCAAGGCATTGCATCTGCTGTTCAAACAAAAATCCAAGGAGTATACAGTTCACTCCTTGGAATGCCTGAAATAGCTCTATCAATCCCAGCCATTGTGCATAGGGCCACTGTCTTCTCTCGTGCACATAGACAAGAATGTGGCTTTACTGTCCAGTAAGAAGTGCTAGCACCAGAATTCCAGATACTCATATGGTCCGATCTTCTACCCTTTCCTTTGTTGCCTTCTTGACTTTGTGTTAAGCCCTGAACTCCCTATATCAATGCAAACTTGGATTTCTTTTATTCTAGGAACAGTACAAAACAGAATACCATAGAATGCTTTTCATTGACTATATACTATCAAATAATTATCATGAAGTACATTTACTGAATATATATCTCATGTTAAACCCTTCTAGCTATTTGGGGCCACAGAAGTGAAAACCTGAAGTAGCTCTAAAATGACACATACGTTCCAGAGAGAAAATTTATAACAAAACATATAGTTTGAAATCATTGATTTCATCAGTGGTGATCTAGCAGGTAAGCTTCAATAACATGGAAAATTATAGGAACAAAAATTGCAATCCTTTGTCTGCTGTAGAGCACTTTCAGAAGAATGGGGGGCAAATGAAGTACAAAGAAGACAGTAACCTTTGAGCTACTAGCATCACAGAGCTACAAAATACAGAGGTCATAACAGCTCCTAGATCCCATAAGGTTGAATCTGTCTGCAAAAGAAATGCTCAAATAGAGAAACATTCTATATTGTCAATTTATACATTGCCACATTAGAGTTATTACCATACCAGAAAGCACTGTAGAATGAAAGGCAGCTTTTATTTAGGAACAGTGATTCTTGTTTAGAATGATGATAATCTGTTATTTATTGCTTAATTACTTTTTCACAGGAAATAAATAGACTCATAATCCAATGCACTAGACAGGAAATACCAGTCATCTACCAAAAAACCCAAAACAAATCTGGCATTACTCAGAACACTGTATTATCTTTGCATTACAAGCTAGTTAAGCCTTTGCAGGATAACTGAAATTTTAGTGGTGTCTTCATTTTCTGACTCAGTACATTATTTAAAACTAATATTTGCTTAATGTGGCTTCAAAACTGAATGAGGTAAGTAATGTTATTCTATCAAAGATTTTAAATTTGGAACATTTTTTATCTGGAAATCCAACAGCATCTGTCCAAATGCTTTGCCCTGTTAAAAAATAAAATAAAATACATATTAAAATAAATGTCTTCTCATTTTCAGACAGTTTCCTCCTCTCCCCCACATACTTCTCCCAGAATAAATCTGCATCATTACCAACCAGTACACAGATAGATCCACATGCACAGGTTCTTGTCTCCAATCCCCACTCCCTCCTCTGAACAGTTACATCCTACATTACGCTAAGTCATTTCTGAATCAGAGGCTAGTCTTCCCTCTCAGTGCGCTTTTTTATTTAGTTATTTAATGCCACATTCTGAGATGGAAAGCTTACAGCTGCAATGGAAGCCAACAGGCTGAGAAAATGTTTGTTAACTTCTGGACAGAGTTCATAAATTCATTCTGGGATTGCGTCTTTATGAACTGTCTAGAATTTGGAGAACTATCTGGGGAGCAAGAGGGTAACTGGGTACGTGGTCAAACTCCCCAACATGTCAGTAGGGATTTACTTCCACATAAATTATTTAGTGAGCTGGGCAGAGTTTATGCAAATTAATTATTACAATAGAACATGTAATAGAAACTGCTTGCAAGATGAAATGTGCACAGACTACCAGGAAGAAGAAGGTACAGATGTAATGAGGATCTTTTTTAAAGTTCTCTCTCCACATTTATATGAAAGTTAGCTTGTTTTGAAAAGATAGGACCAGATTACATGCAAAAGAACCTATTTCAAGAAGATGGTCAAATGACCTTTTGACTTTCTCATTTAAAACAAGAGAAACGTTTTCTTTTAAATTTGGACATTTGGCCAATTGAAGCACAGAGCATGACAAGGTAGGAGAAAAACTCTGAGAGAAAACTAACTTCTAAAGAATGCAGGTACTACATATGATATCCATATTTTAACATATGTGATGGACTTGTAAGAAAGCCAAAGAATTCTGGTCACAAGTACAAATATTAATGCAAAAGATCTTAAAGATTAATACATAGTTGAAAGCAGAATCCTTTTTATTAGGACTAATGGACAATCAGCTGGAAAGAAGCCATGGAACTTTATTTGTATAAATGACCATGGCAACAAGAATATTATATGCACAGAAATGGAAGTGTCTGAGAATACCTACAGTAGAAGAATGGTTGGAGAAGATGTTGGACCTTGCAGCAATGGCTTAACTTACTGCATTGGTTAGGGAAAATACAATTAATTTGTTTATTATGGACTGGAAATCCCTTATAGATTTTTTGCAGGAAAAAATAATAATGACTTGATGATTTGTGGTTTTGATGATTAAGGTATTAGGATACAAAAAAGAGAGAGTTCTTTATTTTTCATATATAGCAAGTAATCAAACTTATATTTGTTGTAGAGAAAATTGGAAGTCTTTTTCTATTTTATGCTCTATTTTATGTATGTTTTTTCTGTCCCCCCCCCCTCTTTCTCTTGTTTTATTTTATCAATGAAAACTAGAAATTCAAACCAAAAGAATGCAAGTACTATCTGTGGTCACTTGTTTCTACACTTTCCATAAAGCTAGATATTGCTATGGGTATCTGCTTTCTCTTTGTCATCACTCTGAAGATCCAACCTAATTTTTCTGTCTGTTGAACAGCTGGCTGCTACATAGACTCTCAGGGATACCATATGAACCATAGTAAGCTAGGAAATATAGTATGTTTATATGAGCTTTACTTGATTATTTGTTGTTGCTATACCAGTGGGCCACTGTGCTTACAAAAACATCTTAATTAATAAACCTATGCAGTAGTGGGCATGGTTCGTGTTGATAACACTGGAATTCTGAAAAGAACATGCTGCTGTATGAGCTACCTGGAGGCATGAAGTGCAGTGTAATATCTGGAGATGAAATTAATGCTGTGGCACTGGTGCCACAAGACTCTTTACCAATGCTCCCTCTAAGCTGTGGAGTCTTGTAAGCAAACATTCTACTTTGTGCGGTCCTGGTATTAAAGTTGTAAGCCAGCAATTTGGCTGCTGCATAAATTAGTTTGCTCTGGAGCCATCCTTCCTGAGCTAAGACAAAAACGTGTGAGTGAAGGCTAAAAAACTGTGAGCTAGCTCACACTAACTCAGCTTAGAAGGTCTTTACCACTATGGAATTAATATTTTAGCTGATATAAGTGGTGAAATCAACTATGGCTGGTTAAAAAGAACGATGCAATAGGAAAAAAGCAAACGAACAACCTACCTGTGGGTCACTTCTCAGAGATGCTATGCCCCCACCACCAAGTGAATTTTTCAGAACAAAGTTTAATCCATATATTCCAGGCAACTCATACCTGTAAAGATAAAATTTAGATGTTTCTTTCACTGATGTAAAATTCCATTTTACCTGTAGTACAATTTTGAAATCAATGTAAAATTGAATTGTGAATGTTAAATTATACTTGGATTGATCCAGGAAAATAAAACAAGATTTTAAAGAACAAATCATATCAATAGTAAAGGAAACAGTATACATTTAACTGAGATTCCCTTAATGAGTATATTTTTATAATGAAAGTTTGTGTCCTTTAATTATGTAATAATAACCACACATCCGTAAAATCAGCAGAGTACAGAGACTGCAGAAGCCAAAGTAATTTCCAATGAAAACTAACTTAACATTATGTTGTTGAAGGCTTTCACAGCCAGAGTTCATTAGTTGTTGTAGATTTTCCGGGCTGTATGGCCGTGATCTTGGCATTGTAGGACCTGACTTTTCGGCAGCAGCTGTGCCTGGCATCCTCAAAAACACACAAAAAATGGGGCACTCTCTGTGTCAAGGTGAGAAGAAAAATGGTAGGCATGTAATTTATCTCTACTCAGGAAGGTGGGATAGGGCTGAGTTATTATCTTGTAGGAGTTCCCCAGGCACACACAAAAAACTATACAAGACAGAAGCACAGCCACCACGACTATATGGACTCCCTAAAATTAATCAGGACTCAGTCCCACTCTGACCCATCATGAGTGTCATTGGTTCCCCTACATATGAATTAGCTAAATACCTGGCCAATCTTCTACAGAACCACATTGGAAAAACCACAACATACATCAAAGATTCAATACATTTCATCAACAAAATCAGTCCTCTGAAACTCAACCCACAGGACATACTCATCAGTTTTGATGTGGTATCTCTTTTTACAAAGGTTCCGGTAAAAGACACACTCACACTTGTTAATCAGATTTTTCTAGAAGACATAACCGCCTTATTCCACCATTGTTTGACAACCAGTTACTTCCAATGAGATAACAAATTCTATGAGCAGATGGATGGGGTTGCCATGGTAAGCCCTCTCAGTCCGGTTATCGCAAACTTCTATATGGAATATTTTGAAAAAAAATAGCTTTAGAATCTGCACCCCACAAACCTACAGTCTGGTTCCAGTATGTAGATGATACCTTTATCATTTGGAGCCATGCAGAAGTAGAATTGATGGTGTTTTTAGACCACCTCAACAACATCCACCTGAACATACAATTCACCATGGAAAAAGAAATTGAGGTTAAACTCCCATTTCTAGATATCGTGGTCATCTGCAAAGCTAACCTTCAAATAGGTCACAAGGTCTACAGAAAACCAACTCACACGGATCATTATTTACACAAAAACTCCAATCACCACCCTCGACAAAAATAAGGCATAATTAAAACATTACTAAACCGCACAAGACGGATATGTGAGCCATACTTTCTCAATGATGAACTAAATCGTCTAAACAGTGGAACTAAACTTCAAGCAAATGGCTACTCCAAGAATGAAATTAGAAGAGCAATTAAACCAAAGATAAAACAAACAACTGAGGAAAAACAGTCTCCCACAGGAAGTGTTTTTGCCATATATCAATGGAATCAATGATCAGATTGGAAAACTTATGAAAAAACACAACCTACAAATAGTATTCAGACCCACCAGAAAAATACAACAGATGCTACGATCAGCAAAAGACAGAAGAGACCCCCTCATCTCTGCAGGAGTATACCACATACCCTGCAGTTGTGGACAGGTTTACATCGAGGCCACACAGCATAGCATTCAGACAAGAATAAAAGAACATGAAAGACACTGCCTACTGGGCCAACCTGAAAAATCAGAAGTGGCTGAACATAGCCTAACTCAGGACACAGTATCTTATTTCAAGACACTGAAAGGCTGGACAACACATCCAATTACCATGTCAGATTACACAGGGAAGCCATTGAAATTCATAAACATAAACACAATTTCAACATGGGAGTAGAGAGTTTAAAATAAATAGGGCATGGTTTCCTGTCCTGAAAAACACAAAATACTCTACATCTTAAAATAGCACAACAGATACGATTAGAATTTCAACAGCCAATCCATATGCAAAAGAACCTCCTCAAAAAAGCTCACTATTAGCATGTCATAGCCTGGGGAACTCCCACAAGATAATAACTCAGCCCTACCCCACCTTCCTGAGTAGAGATAAATTACCTTCCTACCATTTTTCTTCTCACATTGACACAGAGAGTACTCCATTTTTCTGTGTTATACCTCTGAGGATGCCAGTCACAGCTGCTGGAGAAACATCAGGTCCTACAATGCCAAAACCACGACTGCAAAGGGTTTCCTTCCTTTGTCTGAACAGAGCTTGGTTGCCTACTGTGGCGAAATGGGCTCTAGTTTACCACTCAGCTGTTTGCCTCCCACCCTTGTCCCGTGCGCATATCTCACTCCTTAAATTTGCTGCCACGACTCACTGAATCATCACTGCCTTTTTAGAGGGACAGTGAGATACCTCTGGCCAAATCTCCGTATTTGGAGATGGAATCTTCAATCTTTGGGGGATCCATGAAAAGTTGGGCAAGTCAAGGGTCTGGCCTTTCCTTGCTTCCTTGGGCTACCCCCTCCCTTTGTTATTGTGCAGAGCGGGGGAGACTATGTGGTCAGAGCACAACACAGATTATTAGCCCAAATAAAAGATTTTATCTAAGTATTTACACAGTTATGGAGCACACACACACACACACACAAAATAAATAAGGCACAGCTGTAGGAGTAAGCACACACTATAAACCAACAAGGTATAAATATTCTGGGGTTAAACACCATCCTCTTTTCCTACACACCAGCCTCTGGCTCTCTGCTCTAGCCTCTCTCTCTGGCCCAAGAGCTGGGTTCCCTCACGTCTCGGGCTTGTGGCCTGGACAGCCTGGTCAGCACAGGCAGCAGGAGCCTTTCCTAATCTCCTGTAGGATGAAGACGGCCTCCTCCCTGGATGGGCTGCAGTCTATATTAATGCAGCCCCGCGCGTTGGGACAGTCCCTGTTTTCCCGCCCTTTTCTGCCTTGGGGCAGCTGGGAACTGTAGTCCAGCAAATGAGGAAGCCCCATTCAACTCAGTGAGTGAGACCTCGCTGGAACTACACCTCAATTAAACCTTATGGCGGAACATTTTAAACAAACAACCACAGACAGCAGCCCAGCAGCCATCTTACAAACACAGGTAACTGCAATTTCGTTACACCTACCAACAGCCACTGAAGGAAAAGTTAAGTCCCACACAGGAGGCAAGCAAGAGAAGCGTCTTCGTCAAAGAGACAAAGCCATTTGCCAGGAATTCTGACAGGGCAGAGTGGAAGGGGGAGTGGGTGGGAAAGAGCAGCACACCCGACCAATGGCATGCCAGTAGTCTTGACTGGCAGCCGACGGGCCAATGGTTGGGGGAGCGCATGCAATCTCGCCACCCTATAGGCCAGAAGCCACCACCATTCGGCAATTATATATAAGAGAAATTCACTATCATTTGTGTACTTTATTTCCAAAAGTATGTTAATTAAGCCAGTTCAACAATTCAGTTGGGAGTTTATTATTATCTTAATGAAAACTTATTTTAGCTAACTACACAACGATGGATACTAACAGTACAATCCTAAGCAGTTTCAGTTGGGTAGCCGTGTTGGTCTGAAGCAGCAGAACAAAATTTGAGACCAGTGACACCCTTTGCCCAACAAAGTTTTATTCAAGGTATAAGTTTTTGTGTGCGTGCACACTTCTTCAGACTTTTTGCCAATATATTTGAAGAAGTGTGCGTGCACATGAAAGCTTATACCTTGAATAAAACTTTGTTGGTCTTAAAGATGCTTCTAGACTGGAACTTAATCGTAAACAGTGTTAAACTGTTCTAAACCCACTGTCTTCAACTCCAGTTAGGATTGCACTTAATCTGACTCAGTACTTTTGTGTACTGGAGCAAACAACAAACACCCAGTTCCGTTTGGCTGAAGACCTCTTTATTAACAATAACTGAAGGGCAGGTAACTTGGCTATTGGAATAAGAAATAAAAATACTTAACTAAGATGTTTCTAGAGCCCTAGACTCAGGTTGTCCTGGCCTGGTTCTGCAGGGTCTAAGTAGACCATGTACTCCTGCAGGCTGCTAGCAGGAAGACTGAAGAGAGAAGCACTGAGTCCCTCCTACTCTTCTGCTATACTTTGAGGCCTACTGGGATAGCCTCTTAAAGAGGCAGTACACCACAAATACCACTGAACTATGGCAAGGTAGGAGTAAAAGATAAACACAGTAGGAGTAAAAAAACAACTATTTATTCTCAGTCTTCCCATCATTGGTCACAATTTTTGCTAAACAGAAAGCTGCATATTGTTCTTACAGTGAAGGCAAAATAATTAATAATCTGACCAAAATTAAAAACCTTTGACCCGCTGATTTCAGAGAAAGAGTTAAACACATACTTAAATGAAGTTTGAGTCCAGTGGCACCAAGGTACAAGCTTTCCTGTTGATTGCCTTGATCTTAAGGAGAGTTTGTCATAGTCCAGTAAGAAGCCCCCAGATCTTAAACATGTGAGTGTAATCCCTTCTAATTCCCAAAGGCCACACACAAAAGTGTCCTTTCTTCTCTCTCGTTGTTTTTCACACAGTTCATATTATTCCGGTATACATCATTACAACACTCCAATCCAAATTCCCAGGATATAGTTAATTAAAGAAATGGGTTTATTCACAAGCTTTAATCTTTGGGCATTCATTTAAAAACTGTAGCTGCAAATATCTCAAAGTCGGAAAGGCCAGATAATCAGTTTCATCCAAGAGTGCCTGGAGCTGGATGGGTCCCAATCATCCTTGTTCCTTCTTCAAAAAGGGAAGGTTAGCAACAAGTCAGTAATTTGCACATTTTGGATCCAGAGATGGTTTCTTTAATGATATGGCCTCAAAGAAAAAATTAAAAGTTTCTGGATCTATTTATATACCCTCCCCCCCCCAGCCTACTCTGATAGTTATAAGAGGCATGGGTGAAGTGGGCGGGTTGCTGGCCAGCCTCTCCAAGCACCTTCTCAACATCCTCAGATTGCAGTCAGCGAAACTGATCTGAACAAATGCTACGATCCACTGGACTGCTTATTTCAGATACTGTATAATTGTTATGTCAAGACTGATCAGATACAAGCGACTACATCTGCAAAGTGCTCTACAAACATGCTTCAATGGTCTATAGAGGATTCTATTACAATGTTTCCTGGGCTACTGCCCAGTGAAATGTTGACCATTCTTAACAGTTCCACTGGATGGCTCTGTGCAAATCCAACAGCTGCAGAGTGCTGTCTCTTTTGTTGCTGCCATCACCACCACCAACTAGGCTGTAAAACGAGTTGTACCAAACATTTAGCTAGATTCACTCAGAGACTTTCTCCTCTGTCACTCTAGTTATCATCCCTGTCATTTCGTAGCCTTTAGCTCCCCAGAAAAGCACATAGCCACACAAGTTCTATTGGTTGTGACATGAAGTGTTCATGCAATTGTGTCAACAGCCTGAGGACCCTCCAACTTTTAAAGATCAACAGGGTATCAGTAGAAATGTACAGCATATTATATGGAATCCCCCAATGGCTATTTGAATGTCACTGGGATCCAGTAACTGGTGAAGGACTGGATTCCCCACAAGTCTAAATCTCACTGAATCATTTGTCCATAAAAAAGCAAAACCAGAAATTTACTCCATACCTCCAGATCACCAACCCTCTGCTCCAAGTACTAGGTTGAGTGTGTGTCCAGCCATACTTATTGGGATAAAAACCATCTTTTACAGGCTCATGGTTGCCATAAAATCCTGAATTACTTCTGAAAAAGTCACCTCTATATGAGCACTGAAGTTACCCAGAACTAAAAGCAGAGGCAATAACTTTGAGCTCAAGTAGAGATACTAGTGGGCAGCAGGGTGGCTAGTATATCAACAGATTCCCTATAATTTGTTCTCATAGTGGTGTGGCCCTGTCTACTGATACTTACATCTGTGGATTAGGGTCATTTGCACAGAAGATTTTTCCCCCCAACAAACCTGGAGGACTCCCACAGACTTGCCTAAAAATCTGAAAACTTTAAAAAATGAATGGGGAGTTTAATCCCCCCAAATGAAGGAGTGTTATCTATGCAACAGCAAGCAGCATAGCTCTGCTGCCTGAAGGAATGCCTCACCTCTGCAAGCCCACTGACATTCTGGCCCCTCCCCATACTTTGCACAAAGAAAAGAAAAAGCTCTGAATTTGCTGCTATCCTCCTTCCCCACCATCTCCTGGCTTTTTAATACTTAATGGCCCTGGTCACACGGGAGGTTTTGGCCCGGAAGAGGGACGGATTGGGGGCGCAGCAAACGGGCGTGAGCACACCGCAACATCTGGGAATCGGCGTGCCCCCGTCCCCGATCCGTCCCTTCAGGCCGGTAATGCGGGCGAAAAAAGAACCTGGTAAAGAGCAGGACTTACCTGCAACGCCACAGCAAGCGTGGCCGTCGGATCGCCGGAGTGCCCGTCTTCAGGAGCAATCCAGGCTCCCAGCCAAACTGCGCATGCGCACACATGCGCAGTTCGGCTGCCTCACTCTCCCTTCAGTAGCTTCCCCCCGGCATCTGATCATGCCGGGGAGCAACTGCGCGGCGGCTCAGGGGATCTATGTGATCCTGCTGCCGTGTGTCTCTTTTGGTGCAGCTCTAAAAAGCCGCACTTCGGCCGTGCTTTCTCCCCCCCCCCCCCCCCGTGGCAGGGGCCAATGTCACACAAGCTCAGTTCACATGTTAATGGTTCTCTTTTGTCTGCATGATTTCATGGCAAACCACATGTTGCAGTTACATATTAAAGTGACAAACTATTGGTTGTACTTACCCATCAGATTAGAGTTGGAATCTGTGATCAAAGCGAGTTTTTTCAAACACTATTGCACATACCTTATAACCAAGTTCTCTTCAGGCTCCTCTCTTTCTAAAAGATGTTGGAAATAGCCTTCTACAGCCTGAGCAGTTAATGTTTTCTTCAAGTACGGGTAATAGAGAGGATGTCGGGCTATGACACCTGTTGTTACATACAAGAAAACCCATTATTTTATTTGAAAAAAAATCATTCAGATTTATTTTAAATTAATAGGAGCTCAGGGACAGAATACTTTGCACTCTCAAAGTGAGCTCTATTCCACCAATGTTTATGCTCCACCAATGTTTATGCTAGAATAAATTTTTGTTTATCTTTAAGGTGCCTTAAGGCTCCCCTTTTATGACAAAAGAATTCCTATTGTATGGGATATCCCAGATTAGGAAAAAAAAAAAAAAAGCCCCCATTTTATATGGTTTTGAAGGCAGTTATAATAACCAAAGAATAAGCATATTTCCAGTGTAATTGACAATTATGACTCAGGAAGTGTATTAAACCATGCACATGCATACTCAGGTATATTTTTTAAAAATCAGAATTAAATAATACCTATATTTGCGGAATTCCCTTTGTCTCCACTCCTGGTGTAGGCAAGATCTTCCAGGCGATATGCATGGGGACCACTTGGTAGATCTACATATAATGGATTGAAACAAATCACTGCTTTCTCACTTATGATAGAAACATTACTTCTTTTGGCTTATATTCTAGTATATTTCTGGTTTTAGTCTTAAAGTTCTTCTCCATGTAAACATTTAACCTTTCAGCAAATAAACCTTTCCTATCAGAGCCACTCTGAAGTCTCACAGAAGTGGAGAGAAGAAATGTAAATTACTTGCATTTCAAGTCCTCACTGTGCCACATCTGATGTAAAGAGGGAACATGGACATTCCATGCACATTTGCAGAGATTCGCAAAAAACTGGAGCAGCTGTCCCATTCCCCCCACCTTTGCTCTCTCTCTCCTCCATACCTGTTGCTTCTTCTCTTTCTGCCCCCTCACCCCATCACTCTCTTTTTCTGCCTCCCCACCTCATCACTCTTTCTCTGCCTCCCATCGCATCACTCTTTCTTTCTGCTCCCCCCTACCTGATCAACTCTCTCTTTCTACTCCACATCACTCTCCTGACCTCCTGCCTGCTTCCTTCCCCCAGCATGGCAGCAGAGGTGACAGCAGTGCTCTTAGCCACCTACCTGCTTCCCCCCTCCACAGAAGCAGTGGCAGTGCTGGTTCTCCAGAAATCACAACAATCTTCCAACTACAGAGATCAGTTTCCCTTGGAGTTGCCAGCTCCAGGTTGGGAAATTCTTGGAGATTTGAGGGTGAGGTTTGGGGAGGGAAGCTCCAGCAGCAGGGTATAATACCATAGAGACTGCCTTCCAAATCAGGCATTTTCTCCAGGAGAATTGATCTCTGTCATCTGGAGAGCAGTTGTAATTCCAGGTGATCTCCAGCTCTCACCTGGAGGTTGGCAACACTAATTCCCCTACAGGAAATGGCTGTTTTGAAGGGTGGAGTGTATAGCATTATACCTGTCTGAAGTCCCTCCCCATCTCAAACCCTCCCCTCCCCATGCTCCACCCCTCGAATCTCCAGGAATTTCCCAACCTGGAGTTGGCAACACTATCTCCTTCCCACCCAACAGCCAACCTACCTTTATCTGCCCTTCTGACTTCAGCCTTCTATCTCGTCTCACACACACACACACACACACACCCGGCAGGAAGTCTATGGTCAGTCTCCACAGTGGGAACCAAAGCAGCTTACATTATTTTTTCATCCTTTTAATCTGCACAACATACCTGTGAAGTAGGTGAAGCTGAAAGTATGTGACTGGCCCAAAATTACCCAGTCAGCTTCTGCAGCAAGATGGAGATGTGAACCTGGGTCTCCCAGCCCCTAGTCTGATGCTCTAATCATTGAACCACACTGGCTGTCATACTGTGGCTGCTATTGAAGAGTGGCAAGCTGCCAGGTCTGGCTGAGTCATGCAAGTCAGGTGGTATCGAGTTACTCAGAGGCTGTTGCCAGGCTTAGGGTTGCAACGTCCAGCTGGGACCTGGAGATATCCCAGAATTACAACTGAACTCCAGATGACAGAGATCTGTCTCCCTGGAGAAAATGGCTGCTCTGGAGGGTGGACTCTATGGCATTATATCTGGCTGAGACCTCTACTATCCCCTCCTCAAATCCTGCCCTCCTCAGACTCCAAACAAAACCTCTAGTTATTTCCCAGCCCTGAAGATGGCAACCCTAGCCAGGCCTGACCCCAATGAATCCTCCCTCAAAGGCCAAAACAGGTCTGGAAAGGGCCCTGCACCTCCCCCCTGCTTTTTACTGACAGTATCCAGCCTGAAATAGTGTGGCTGCCAAGCAACAGCCACTGAGGGAATCTGTTGCTTAAAGCTACAGGTGCTCCTTTTATCATTTGCAGGTTTTTAAACCCCCCCCCCATGTATTTTTTTTAATTTCACATTTTCTTGCACACCGGGGCCCTTTTCAGGTTTGCAGAAAGATATGTCTTGCCCCTTCACAGCTCCAGTCACCATATTTAAGTATCCAAAGATCTGGCTGATTTCAGTGTTAGAATAGAAGATAGTACACTGCTTATTGGATGTCTCTTCCTGTTGACTGTATTGACTTGCATTGTGTCATGCACATTGAGTCTCAGTGAGAAAGATGGGATATAAATATAGTAAATAAATAAACCACAAATATTGTGAAATATTTGAAGCAGCTCTTAAGAGAATAATTTCCTGATGTCTATTATTGATTTATTTACTTCATTTATTTCCTGCCTTTCTCCACAGTGGGGACCCAAATATTATTCTCTTCATCTCATCCTCACAACAATGCTGTGAGGTAGGTTAGGCTGAGAGAGAGGTCCAAGGTCACCCAGCAAGCTTCCAGGGTGGAGTAGGGACTGGAACTTGGGTCTCCCAGCTCCTAGTCCATCATATTAACCACCTCGTCACTGGCTGTCCAATGTGCATGAAAGGTATAATATGGTTTTTAAACAGAAAACTGGAGTCATAGTAAATTATCTTTTACCTTCTTTCCCATGCACATGTAGAGAGACCAGTTAGTGAGAAATTTTGTAACTCCAAATTTTCTGTCTAAGGCTTCCTAATTCTGAAACATCTCTCAAGGAGCTCAAAAATTTAACTGAACTATTGTTTTAAAATTATTGTATTCAACTTTCCCAAAGTAACGTTGTTTTAAAAAGGCAAAATAGGAAGTGCTATGAAACAGTCGTTGCTTCTAGTAATGTTAGGGTTTTGTTCTTCTTGAATATGCTTTTCCCTGTTGCAAGGGCTGGAGCCGGAGTGCATGCTTTGCAGGTTGCGAGGGTCCAAAGGCAAGAAACCAAGTCAAGAGTCAGGAGCTGAGAAAGTCACACCAAGGGGTCATTCAAGAGATGTGGTCAGGCAGTCCAGAGGTTACTCACAAGCAAGGGGTCGCAGAGCCAAGAGCCAAGGTCAAGAAATGGTCCGGAGTCACACGAGCAAAGCAGAATTTGATGCAGTGGTTGCAGAGTCAGAGGTAGAATGACTTGTTGCTTCCACACTCAGTTTGTCACCCACTCCCTCATTTATGCCAGGTGCACAGCTGTGCTGCATTGGGCTAATGCTCAAGCTATCGTCCTGGCATGTTAGCAGCAGGTGTCTGCGGTGCACACTCTGTCTCCACTTGAGGAGCTCTTGCCATGCTCTCCTTCACCTGCACTCCAACAGCTCCAGGGATGATGGGGGTGAGGTGGCTTGTGGAACTTGGTCTGAACCTGGATCAGTGACCTGAGCTGTTGTGGTGTTGTTCCCTGATGACAGCCCCTCAGATGCTTGTGTGACCGTAGCATCCAAAGCCCTCCTGTCAGTAGCTGGCTGTGTGCTCTCACCTGTAATGAGTTCCAGCTGCTCAGCCTCCTTGGAAATCAGCTGGTTCAGGCTGATCCACATTCCCAGACTCCATATATATGCATGCTTCATGAATTCTATTCCCTACTTCCATAAGTTTTATAGAAAAACTGCATATTTGAGACATGAATGAACCCTTCATACAGTATGTGCAAAGTAACTGTACTAGAATCACATCTGAACTGAATTCTGGAAGTCCAGAATCTTAAAATACTGCCACACAACTGAGCTACACAATAAATTGAATGTAGTTGAGGCTGTACTATAGACCAGATATTCAGGATAGAACCCCAGGTAGTATAACACTGTCTACTCAAACTTATCACAAAAAAAATGAAACTCTAAGATACGTTTTTAAGGCAAAATAACGAATTACAATTCCCAATACCAACAGAGAAATGCACGCAAACCCATTTTCTAAACTCATATCCAAATAAAATAAAATTACCTAAATCATTTGGAAGCAGCTTGTTGGTTTAAGCTTTGAACTGAGTAAACTGATGCAGTTTTCATAGCATTTTTCCCCAAATGGATGAGCAGCCACACATTTCATATTATTCTGAGCAACTCCATAATCTTTGACACCAAACATTCTCAATTCAAATTATACCCAGCTAGCATCAGAGGCAAATGTAATGCTAAATCTTTTTTCTCATGTTTCCCATCTTTTTTTTTTAAACCAACCCTTATCAGCAGTGCACATATGACATCGCCAAACCATATATAAGTCTTCTCTCTTCCACTTATGAAATGCTTATAAAACCTTCTGGGGTTAAAATTGCAATGCAACACTACTACTCTGCACTGCGTAATATTATGGTTACTATAATAAAATGCGTAGAATTACATTTTCATTCTGCAGTTTAACAGTGAAGCACATGCCTTTGGCTAATAACCAAATTTCTCTTCATTTCTAACATTTACCAGTAAATGTTAAAAATTACCACAGAAATTTTAGGAATCTCCAAAACAGCCTCCAGCCACAATAATTTCTGACACTGCTAAAGACAAAAAAAAATCACAGAATAACACTTTGAGCATACAAATTTTGTTTTTAGCAGCTCAATACTGAACTTCGGCCCCTGCCACACGGCAGGGAAACCACGAGGCAAAGCGCGGCTAAATAGAGCCGCTCCAACGTTGAGACGCTGCGGCGGGATCCCACGGATCCCCTGGCCGCAGCGCCTTTTCTCCCCGGCAAGAGCAGACGCCGGGGAGGACGAGCCCGATGGGAGGGGGAGGCTGCCGAACTGCGCATGCCCAAGCATGCCCGATCCCACGGCCGGCTTGGGGCGCTCCAGACGGTTGCAACCACCTAGATAGGTGGTTTGTTTTTGCAGCGGGGTATCGCCATTTGGGCCGGATCAGGGACGGAGACGGCACGCTCCCCAGATGTTGAGGTGGGATCGTGGCCGTTTGCTCCGCCCCCCGTTCCGTCCCGCTCCCGGCCCAAATGGGCTCATATGAACAGGGCCTCTATAAGGCAAAAATTCTGGCAAGCTATCTATCTCACTACAAATAAGGATAATTGTACTAATCATTACCATGTAGCTACACAGTGTTAGGTAATTCTTTTGTAACAAATGGCTGACAACCTTTGTAAGGAGAACTTCAAGAACTGCAAATGAATAAATATTTATATATGTATGTGTGTGTGTGTGTGTGTGTGTGTGTGTGTGTGTGTGTGTGTGAAACATAAAAAGAGCACCTTTTTAGGACTGAGCAGGTGGTGCCTGAGAAACTACAGACTGCCTTGGAAGAAACATTATCTAGAGGCCTTCAATCTTATTTCCAATCTGTTGTTTTTCAACTGAAAATGCTTTAGTCACTTTGAATAACTTCCTTGACTGGGGGAGAGAAGGCGTAACCTTCTGGACCAGGTGACTGAGGTGGGTGTTCTGCGTTGAGAGGGGAGATGGAGCACTACTGCTTGGACCATGTGGCACGTGCTATGGGGGTTCAGAATCATTATATTGAGTAGTTAAAAGAAACTGCTGGGGAAAGTAATCAGGATAGTTAGACTACAAAATCATCAATATTACATTTTTTAAAAAAATCAGCAGTCCCTCTTTGTGCAGCCTCTCATGAGGCAATTTCTCCTCACTCCCTGTGTCCAGCCTCTCATGAGCCAAGAGACGAACAAGAAAAATGGTGTCTCTTTCCTCCAAATGGTGTGGCCTTTTGTTCTCAGCCTCTCATGAGGCAATTCTTCAAGGGCATCCCCAAGCTTTATCGTCCAATAACACCACCTTCCCTCCAGAGGATTTCCAATTGGTCTTAACCCAATTAATGTGGAAATGCTTTGAACATTTTGACTTCCTCTAACTGAAGACTGTTTACCTTTAAAGTAGCTTCCCGCACTGCAGTTTACCCACAGAGAAGGCCAGTGACCTATGTGTCCTATATGCAGACTCTCATAGCCAGAGAGCCACAGGAACAGGGCGGTTCTGTGCACGGCCACCTTCTTTCTGTTTACAATGGTTGTGGGTTTTCACCTTACCCAAGACCTGCTTCCTTCCTATTTTCTTCCCTAGTCCAGTCATGGAAGCAGAAGGGTGTTCCATTGTTTGTTCATTGCAGAGCACTCTTTGTGCCTCAACAGAACTGTACCACACCTCAGCCTATTTTTATGCTACTCAGGCCCTCAAATTAGATAACAACTGTCTCCCCAAGGGTTCAGCCTGATCTGCTATCAAGATCTGCTACAAACTGGTCCCATAAACTTGTTCCTGGGACACTTAGACTTTATTCTACCGTCAATTTTTATCAATTTAGGTGAAGAATTGGTTTCCAAGAATTAGTGTTTGGAGTCAGTGATGGTATTGATAAGGGTCATTAATTGAAGCTCAGTACAGATAAGACTGTGGTACTACTGAAAGACAACAGAGATAACAAGAAGAAATCACCCTAATCCTGTCTTGAGTGGGATTGCACTCCTCCAGAAATATCAGGTTTGCAGATTAAGCACATTAATAGACCCATCATGTCATGCATCTGATAAAGTGTCTATGCATGAAAAAGCTTATACCCAGGATTACACTTTGTTGGTCTTAAAGGTGCCACTGGACTCAAAATTTGTTCCATCCTTTCAGAAAGGCATTCAGGTCTTATTTGTGGTATTTAGTGCTTTTAACTAACTTTGGAAAACTTCTGAAAAGGTGAAATTTAGCTGCAGTTATCCATGTTCCAATCACATCTAGATTAGATCACTGCAACATGCTTTATGGTAGAGTTGCCTTTGAAAACTGTTTCAAAATGCCAATTGGTGCAGAACATTTTTAGATGTAGAACAAAATCAGGGGTATTAATAACAATTTTACCTTTTAAGTCACCTTGAGTCTGGAGCACTTCAGGTGAAATTGGTGCATCTGAAGTGAATGAAAGATCCTCCTCAAATGTTTCAACATGCTCTCCATTCATAAATATGTTAATCTGGAAAAAAAGGCCCTGTTTAAACTATAAAAATGCAAAACTAATTCCACACATATAAAATCAAGAATCATGTTAATAGGCTGTTGGGTTTAAAACTAGTAAACCTGTCTTCACTCAGTGCTCACATGCAACATCTTTCTTAACAGGGAATGTTTTAAACTGTGGTTCTCTGTATTCAGACTCTTGTCCCTTCTACACCATTAGCAGAATGAGGCAGATTTTACTCCATGATTTGATGGTGCCACCTAGGCTGTACTAGGTCTGTCTGAGCTAATACCAAAGGCCAACAATTAAGAATGTAAGAAGACCCCTGCTGGATCAGACCAATGATCCATCTAGTCCAGCATCCTGTCTCACACAGTAGCCAACCAGTTCCTCTGGAGAGCCAACAACAGGACACAGAAGCCAAGGCCTTCCCCTGATATTGCTGCCTGGCTCTAGGATTCAAAGGATTAGTGCCTCTGAATGTGGAGGTTCCTCTCAGTCACCATGGCTAGTAGCCTCCACAAATCTATCGAATCCCCTTTTAAAGCTGTTTATTCTTGTGGCCATCACTACATCCTCTGGCAGCAAATTCCACAGTTTAATCACTCTCTGTATAAAGCAGTATTTCCTTTTGTCCATCCTGAGCCTACTGCCCATCAGTTTCATTGGATGCCCTTGAGTATTTTGGGAGAGGGAGAAATTTTTTTGCTTTGTCAACTCTCTCAACCCCATGCATAATTTTATAAACCTCTGTCATGTCCCCCCTTAGTCATCTCTTCTCCAAACTGAAAAGTCCCAGACTTTTCAGACTTTTCTCATAGGGAAGGTGCTGCAGTTCAGAAGGCCTTATAAAGCCCTAGCTCACAGATGGTTCCTCATTTCAGTCAACTTGTCTCTTAATTAAGGATATTGTCCGGATGAAGGTCATGCATCATTTCCTGGGCTGCTACTCTGGAACTCAGTCCCATCCTTTTTTTGAACCATGCAACTGTTTCTGGCCCAAATGGATTGATAACCAATTCATTATCCCAGAACCCAGTTACCTGTATTTAGATCCTTTCTTTGGGCTGACACTTACAGAATTTGCACTGAAATCTGTACAAGATCTATCATGAGAAGGCTATAATTTCTTTATTTACAGAAACTACGCAAGACCAACATTCCAGCTGCCACCCATAGGCAGGATCAGTCCTATCTGCTGGCTTATTTTTATAGCCTTTCTCTCCCTTTGCTTCTTTAATGAAATCATTGTGATATTCTCTCCTACCTTTCTAATACAAATGCAACTTTTGTGCAATATTCAAAATAAAAAGTCTAACCAGGAGAATATGATTATTTACGTCATTTATAGCCTGCCTTAGAAGACAGTGCAGACATAAAGAAAAAGAAAACCAGGTTAAGGCATGACGTACTATTCCATTATACCACTGCCCTTTCTCCTTCCTAAAAATACTCTCCTGAACAGAATGAAAACATCCCTTTTCAAAAACACCTAATATCCAACAAAACGTTTCAATTCTTCTGACTCACTTAACTGAGCTATCATTGATTTTAATAGAGGAATACATATTTAGTTTGGGACAAAAAAAGTTTGAAAATGTTATGCATTTCCTATTAAATACAGAAGCAGATATTTATTTGCCTTTACAAAGCAAAAAGATTTCTAATTTGTCAAACTATGAAACTGCAAATATCCTGTGTTGAACTGCATAAAGGAAGGTAAACTCCAACTGATCCTCATTCTTCATTAAAACAGTATGAAGATTTACTGCAAGCCAAATAATAGAATCTTTGTATCAATATCTCCTTATACAATAGGTTTACTGCAGGTCAGATTATGAAAGAGTACTTCAACAATACACGTAATAGAACTATTGAAAGCCGATTCAAAATAAGCCACAGAAATGTGCAGTTGGTACAGTGGCAGAATTCATGAGGGCTCACATTTGTGTATACCCTCATGTTAAAATCTCCCTGCTTATGAAAAACTGACACTTTTAACTCAGCCTTCTCCCTGGCGTGCTATACGCACAATGAGATTTTTATGTGGGGCTGCTTTCGAACAGGTGATATGCTTATCAGGAAGCTGGTTCCCAGTTACCTGTTTTTTAATTCAGTACACAGCTGCATGAACAGGTTGCTTACCTGTAACTAGTGTTCTCTGAGCCATCATCTGTGTAGTCAACATTGGGTGACCTTGGGCCAGTCACACACTCTTGATCAGGATGACTATTGGTATGATAATGTATTTGATGCATATCTCTCCAACATGGAACAGACTCATTGCTTCTACGTGGTAGATGCAATGCCAACCTGTTTCTTTATGTAGTAGATCATGGCCATGTTGTCTGTAGCCACTTGCACTACTTTTCCATGGAGTCTGGGTTTTTTTGTTTTTTGGGGGGGAGCATGAATAGACTTGTAGACAACTAGGAGCTCTGGATGACTGATGTGGAGCTGTCTCTTTTGAAGCAATCGTGGTCGCCTGCTGGTGTGCCTGCCATAGCGCATGTTCCATCTCTTCAGTGAAACATCTAGTCTGTGAGGGTCACGTGATGGCACTAAAGGACTCCCTGGCACAGATTATGAGGATAAATTTACCACTGAGGCTTCTGAGCACTAATAATAGAATGTACAGAAATTCCTCTTGTGAATCCCTTATGAGAATGAAAGTTGTGACTGAACCAACATCAAAGAGCCTGCCTAGGTTTGAGAGGTAGTCAATACTTCCTTAAGAGAGCGGGTGGTCACCTCAGCCTTAAAACAGGCTATATGGTGCATCCACTTCTGAAGTAGCCTATCCTGGACCCAGGAGATCTCAGTAACTATTAACCAGTCTCAAATGTTCCATTTTCGAGCAAGGTTATTGAACAGGTTGTTGGGACACAGACTAATTTATGCATTTATATCTGCTACGCACGCACCAAATGAACTGTGCACACACTTGTATACCATGAGCCAAAGAAAGCTGTTTGGAATCACCTACTGTGAGACAGAATTCACATAGGAAACGCTTGCCTGCTTTTTATGTTAATATAGCGTGCACCCATTCAGCTCAAAGGATCATGGGAAGAAGAAGCACATGGTGGCCTTTGTTAGCAGAAAACAACACAGAGAAGAAATTCCCCCATTACTGCAAAGACTGGTTGTCACATAGGACACAGATTGGATCTACGTTTGAATTGCAGGTTCCTCTTTACAATGCCTTGGCAGCCAGGTGAGGCCAAGATTGATCTCCACAACAAAGAGATGTCCTGAAGCTGAGACTTCACACATGGCCAAATGGTATTCCATGAGATAGAGTATAGAATTTCAAATATCGCCCAACCCATAGGAGTACCTACCCCTTTTCTAGGGCTGCCAAGTGGGGGCGGGGGGGGGGCGGGGAAACCCCCGCTTTGGAGGCCCGATTTGGAAATATAGGCTGCCTATGATGTTAAAGAATGAAAACTAGTTCACACGCCATTCAGATAGCAAGTACTAATCAAACACTTTCTTATAAAGTTCAGAGCAACCCCCAAAGCACCTATTGTCTGCACAGACAGTAATATTTATTGAGAAGATTTCTTATTACATTTCAGCAAGTAGGACAGATTTTGGTTCTAAACCTGCAGAGCCTGTTGTTACAAGCTGACTCAGTATTCTCTTTTGTTTCAACAGCTTTAAGATGGCAAAGAATCAGGCTTTTAAGTATTGTATAAATGCTCCTACCTTCACATTCTTTTTTGGATAAAGGAAGAAAAATGGTTTCAAAACTGGAGATCTGGAAAAGATACCAGAGGGAAAGATACAGGCTAGTTAAGAGTAATTCCCCATATGTGCCTTGTATATGATCCCTGTCTTGTATATGATCCCTGGATGCATCACAAAATTAGTTATGATCCTTAGGTGCTTAGAAGAGCAATTCTATTATTGACAATACAGGAGAATCAAAAACTACATAGCATCTCTAATATTTCTAAGCAACTTTGGTATGACCAAATGATACAACGATTCCCTAAAAATATAATAATTGATCTTTCCAACAAAAGGGAAAACCCTCCAGCATAAAACTGACGGGATCTTCCATAAAGAGATGAGAGTTTCTTATTTAGACTTACACTAAGACAATATCTAATATATTTACACATACCATTGCCCAGAAAATATAAAATTAAATAATCAAACAAGCCAAGCTATTGACTAGGAGATTCACAAAATCATCTGAGAATCAAGAAAAAGTAAACATTACTACAACCACCTTTAATTAAAAACTTACACTTTTGGACGTCCTCCAACAAGGCCAGTGACACCAGGTGCTAAAAATGAAACATTTAAAAGGTAAAATTCTAAGGATAATTCAGAGTGAGTTAGAGCTGAATACTTCTCTATGTTCAGATATTAGTGTACCTCAACCTCAGGTTTTCCTCATAAGCTAGAAAACAGAAATCACAAAAATACATTTTCCCAAATATATTTATTTTTCCCACATTCCTGAACAAACATGGTAAAAATATGAAGGAAAAACAGCATCCTCATCCTGCAAGGACTTAGGGCTCAATTACACGTGACAGCGTCCCTATGTCTGTCATGGGGATGCTGCCACCATTTTAAGACTTAGATTTTCTTATTTCAAAAACACCACAGTGCCCAATCCTGGCAAGCCTACCTGATGGCACCACAGCTGGGCAGAAACCCAGGCAGTCTTTCCCAGACAGAAGCATGGCAGAGGGGCAGTGCTTGCTGGGTGATGAGGGCTTGCTGGGGTGGAGATGAAGGCACCAATCTCCTCCTCTCTGTTCCCCTGGAAATGCAGTACAGTGGTTGAATCCCCTCACCCCAGGCAGAGTGTTTGGTTTGCACATCTTGACACAGCCAAGACCAGTTCACTGGTGGCTGGGAAGAGCAATGGTGCCTACTTCTCCTCCTCCTCATTAGCATGCTGAAGCATTTCTCCTCCTCCTCATTAGCATGCTGAAGCAGCCAGGGCTGGAGATGGGGCTATCTCCATAGCCTGGCAAGCACCGCTTCACCTCCATTGCTGCTGGGGCTCCTGTCTGCCCCCATACTGTTTTCAGGCCTCCTCGATAGGGGGATGACCACCTGGGTTTCCACCCAGCCAGGGCATTGTCAAGTGCACTGTCAGTATTGAGCTTCCATGGTGTTTTTCAAAAATGAAAATCCAGTCCTTAAAATGGCAGCAGCATCCCTGACGTAATGCTGTGAAGAGCTATATTCAAAAGCAAGAACCCAACTCAGTGACAGAAGCACAGACTGTAAGCCAGGCCCTCCTCCTGCACAGAGCTTCTTCCTCACAGGGTGCTTTCTCTGACCATTTTGTTGAAAGGGAGGAGAGACCGGGGTGATTGCCTGGCCCTGTGTGGTCAAGGAAAGGCTACCCTTCCCTGAGGCTGAAAGGTTGATAGATTCTCCAGTTGGGGCAGCTTCAAGGCAGGTTCTTCAGCTGAAGCTTCAGTAGAGAGTCTTCTGAGCCCCCAGATCTTTAGAAACAGCTCCCAGATAATCCTGCTCTCCCTCAAATGAGTCTTATTCCCAGGTCCAACCCTCAAGCACTCCCAAGAAGACAAGGAAATCGCCTATTTTCTTCCCCATGAGTAAAAAAGCAGCCTGAAGAGGGTGATTTTGAGTTAAGGATGGTAGGGGAAGGGGTAAAAGCAACAATGCAGATTTGTAGTCTTCCCAGACTACTTTGGATTTTTTTTTAGTGGAGGAAAGAACCCTTGTAAACATTTCATTTGACCCTGACAGTGCCTCTATTGCTTCCTGAACTGTGAGGATGGGGTTTACAGACTTCTTTTCCTGTTGTTCTTTACACTGGTGCAGAGCAACAGGAGGCTAAGAGACACCTTTGAGAGTGTCTTCAGTGTATATGGCAGACAGTGGCCAAGTTTCATATAGGGGGGCTCCTTTGGAATTGAGAACTTTGTTGGAGGCCAGATGAAAACGCAAGGGCTGCCAAACTGCCCATCCCACGATGATTAGAATGAGCACAAACACTCAGATTACCAGAAATTAAAAGAGATAACAAGTGACTAGACAAGGGAGCAGTTCCTGCCTGTCATGAGCCAACACCTTTATTGTAGTCAGTGAATACCCCCCACGTGACCAAAAGAGCTGATGAGAGAGAGGTGATAGGGGTAAATATAGGTTGAAGATGTCCGATTAATAGGAAACAAAGCTTTTAGATTGGGTTGTATGGAGGGGGGGAGGTAGATGAAGAGGCTGGTGATTAAAGCTGAGGGTCAGAGAGCGGGTTAAGGGGGTCAGAAGATGCATGGTATATGGAATTCGAAGGCTTGTCCTGAAAGAATAGTCTTTTGCTCCTCTAGATCCATGATGCTTCAGTAATTGTAGTTACTACAGACTCTTCAAGCTCTAAAACTGAAGTAATCTAAAATCAAGTGCTCTGTAGTCATTATAATAGTGTACGTCGCACACAAATAACCTTGCTAATAGAGGTCAATTATAATTGCTCTACTCATTTCCTCTCAACCCAAGGAGATAAGAAATCTTTTAGAATAATGTATTCAAACTAAATGGGGACTGGTCTACTTAATCTGTTGAACCTAGGAAACTTCTTGAAGTAGCTTCCAGCACACTTGTCATCAGTCATAATATTTACATATATTCAGGCACTTTAAAATCTCAAGCTGCATTAACCAGCTGTCATTACAGTGTCAACCTCCGGTCACTGAAATGTGAAATAAGGGTCAGCACATGTTTTTTCAACTAGGAAGATCTTTTTACAGCTACTGAACTGAGCACATACTAAGACCAAAAAAAACCCTTAATATTCCTATTGATAGCGAAAAAAATGAAATATGACCATTAGTTTATCCATAGAGATGTAAATAAGAAAACTTAGTCAACATGAGAAATATGAAAGAAGTCTCATTCCATTAATAATGGGGGGTTATATTTTGGACCACTTGAATAGGCTGATGTTTGGACATTCTAAGGAAGCAAGTTATGAAGAAGTGAGAATATGCTCACAAACCAATTATAGTAAGTAGTATGATTATAGTAAAGCATGACTGACAGTAATGAGGTTGAATCTCAATCTGTTCAGGACCTTTGGGTCAAAAGAATATTAAGATAAGAAAGTAGAGCATCCTAGGGTGAGCAAACAGTAACCTGTATCCAACCAAGCTGTTCTGAAGACTTACAAGCACTTGAGTTTTCTTCTGGGTGGGTAGCAGTGATTTCCAGCAATTCCCCTATCTCACTGCAAGCTGGTGAAACCCCAAAATTTTGCTCCTGAGGGTCAAGGACCCCTGAAACCCCAAAATTTTGCTCCTGAGGGTCAATGACCCCTCAGGAACAGCACAGGGATCAAAGTGAGAATCTGTAGCGATAGAGGAAAACCACAGGATGTCCAATTTATTTTAAAGAAAACTCAAGTGTCCTTAATTCTTAGGAATGTGGAGTTGGATACAGGCCAGTGGTTTATCATAGTTTTGTACTTCCTGGGAGAAAATTCACATATTGCTGCAATAAGAATTTATGAAGGAGCACATTATATTTCTGAAGCAAATTAAAGATGACAAACTGAAACAGGTAGAAGACTAGCTGATTTTCTTTTTTCTATTTCAGAAGAGAACACTAACTAAACATTTTTAACTAAAATGATATATTCATTAAAATATTTATATCCCCCCCTCTCTGTTTCCCTTCCATGAATAGGAAGATTAAATGGTATCAGATTAAAGAGGTAGAATATTACAGAGTCAGAAAACTGATTATTCCTATACTCCACACTTCTTCCTAAGGTTTTAGATGTTCAAATCCCATTATTTTTATGTATTTTAGCTGGAGTTCTAATTGTTTCAAAGATGTGTTGATGTTGTTTTTTGGTTGTTTTAATGATTTTCAAATGTGATCTTTTTATGTATGCAGAAAACCATTTTCCTATTTGCAAAACAAGGTCAGAACCACATACGCTTTTAAATAGAACTTTAAACAGAGATCGTGTAGTGGAACAGAGTAGTGTCAGCTGAAAGTCCCTACCTCGAATCTTGCATCAGCTATGAATACTGGATATACTTTGGCAACCCACTATCATTCACCTGCAGGTTTCATTTTGATATAGGGATAACAAATATTGGGTTGGATCCTACAGTTCTGTTATGTGAGTGGAAGAGCTTTTCCATAGGCAGAAGAAACTTCCCCCTGACACAATGATCTTTCAGGCTCTTCCAGGCTTTTATTTGTGCAACAGATACGCAGGAACTAGTCAGTACTGACTTATATTATCTCCGTTATCCTTATAAAAACTCTATAAAACATGTCAAGCACTTTGAACAATTTATGGTGCAGTCCTATATCCTTTGACTCAATGGCCTCAGAACTCTGCTTAGGATGGAAGCGTTAAAGTATTATAAAAATGGCAGATATTACTGGGAGATTTTTATAATATTATGTGACTACTATTAGAAGAACTAAACCATTATCCTACTGTTCTAGAAAGCAAACACTACCTAGTGGGTGTGCAACAAATTTTATGAGGACTCTTTCATTATATATCTGACAAATATGTCCCCCTTACAGATCATAAAATCCACAAAGAAGAGTATCAGGGCAAGGGAAGATATTCCTGAAAAATCCAGGAAACCCCCAGGTTTGGAGAAATTGTGTTTTTTTGGGGGGGGAATAAAACACAAGATCTTGTGAGACTACCTCAGGAACTGCCATATGGTTAGCTCAGTAAACCCTAGATAATTCAAAATAGTGGCCAAGATCTTAGTCTCATGAGATGTTAGCACAGATGTGGGGGGCAGCTAGAAGCAGGAGGCAGGGATAGGACAGGGAAGCAACAGAGAAGCAGGAGCTACTGGGGGCAACCTATAGGGGAAAGTGGAAACCAATGAGAATGTGTAAAGTGTAAGGATGCAAGACCAAGGGATGCAGGGAGAGGAAAAGCTGGGGCCAACAATGAGGGAAGAGTGGAAACTTGAGGGAAGCAGGGTATGGATGGAAAATACAGAGCTGGCAAGGAGAGGAAAGAGGAATACTTACGGATTTCCTGCTTGTTTAAGAACTAATGCTAAAAGAAATTAAAATGAATGAACTATTTATTTATTTTTGACATTTTTACCCCGCCCTCCCCGTGATATGAAGAATAGAGATCAGCTTAGGCTCTTTAAAGGGAAGTCCTACCTCACTAAACTCACATAATTTTTTCAGAGAGTTAACGAGCATGTAGACAGGGATGAACTGGTAAATTCTGTATACTTGGACTTCCAAAAGTATTCGAAAAAGTGTCTCAGTAAAGTCTTCTGTGTAAAAGTAACATTCTTTC